TCCCTACAAGAAAGCAAATTAGTAGCTATGACAAAGGCGAGTCTTGTGATGTGGACTGCTGTTTACTAAGAAGACCTGAGACCACCCACTTATTTTGTATAGCCTGTCATAAACACATTGAATGGAAATGACATTAGGCCACTCTTGGCTTAGAACAGATTTGACGTAGTGCCTTAGAATCGTATTTCAAGATTCATTCAGAGCACTGGAACGTGGAGGCAAGATCCTGTTCTACCTATTACTTACCTACGGGGACTCGGGTACCTAACTGTCATCCTATTCCATCTCGCTCAAGTCCCCCATAAACAGCTATTGCAAAGGGCAAATGGGTACTCCTCCTGCTCAGTGGTTTTGTGACTTCATCTTAAGGCTACAGTAATGGTGTGTCACAAAATAAGTCATATTAACAGGGGTGCAGGTTGTAGCTGTATTGGTCTAAGGACATAGGCAGACAAGGTTCTTTGGGTGAATCTGATATATTTTATTAAACCAACTTAAATAGTTGGAAAAAATAGTTTTGAACCCGAAAACTTGCTTAAATTTTTTCCCCCAACTAGTTAAGTTGGTCTAATAAAAGATATCAGATTCACCCAAAGAACCTTGTCTGCCTAAGGCATATTAAGGTATTTTCAGGGACTTGAGCAAGGTAGAATAAGATCATACTTAGGTCCCTAAGTTCACTTAGCCTCCCAATAGATTTGGGCCCTTGAACTGGCCGTACAAGCAGAACTATTGTGTTGAGAGAGTCAGAAATAACACATTTTTGCTGTAAACTCTCAGTGTTCCTTCTCCATTCCCTTGTGGTGCTCAGTCTTGGGAGAACATGTGTCCAGAGCGGATTTGAGTTCCCTGGCCCTACCGCATTTCAAAGAGGAAAACCTGCTGAGACAGGAAGCTCTTTGTAAGCACTCTGGGCATGCAAACCCCTGGTGTTCTCATGCGGTGAAATGATTGCATTAGTTTTATTTGTTCAGGTAGAAAATGATTTGTGATTTGTTTTTCTTTTCAACAAGCTGCTTACTGTGCCTGAATTTCTGTCTGTTCTCTGTCTCTTACAGAACTCCTCCAGGTCTGCAAATTCCTCCAGTCTCATTAATCCAATGAACGGGGGCTCCTCATTGTGGGAGGAAAACTGGAAAGTTAATTCCTCCTTGTGTTTTCAGTACAGTATGTGATCTACCTGGGGATCTCTCTGCTTGCTTGTGTTCCCCCCCACTTCTTTTAACTCATCCTTCTGAACAGGTGATTAGGCTGTTCCTATAACACTTTACAATCTCTCGCCGCCATCAGAAAAAGATAGAAATAAAAATCTTAATAGCTATTAATGGGTTTGCTGTGATTTATTTTGAAATATACATTGGTATTTTGCTGTTCCTCAGCTCCTACTGAAAGCCATCAAGTGCAGAAAAGAGTACAATAAGCCCTTTCAAAAACAAATGTCTTTTTTGTGTGCATCTATCTAGGAACACTATATAATGTTTCAAACCACTACAGCCTGTTCAGCTGAAACCTCAAGTTAAAAAAATGTTCAGCTCCCAGGTTCAGTATAGCTAGAAGATCAGTATTTCAGATGCCACAGGTCTGGACCTCTGAAACACCAGATAAACATCGCTCACTGCATGGAGAAGTTAGATTGCTTGCTCTCCCAGAAGGGTGTTTGTAATCACACCTCTAAAAATCTCTTACATATTGATACTGCTCACAGGTATTGATTCTCATCACAAGGAACATGCAGGTCATTACCAGGCCCAGTTCATTCAAGCACATCCAGGCCTCCTAGGTATGAATTCAGTTCTGCTCTGTCTCCCAAGTAACAGTAGACCACATCACAGAGAGGGAAGGTGTGAAGGTGGCTGGAGGCTGGACAAACCATGAAGGCAAAGAATATGGGCTTAGGAGTGACAAATTGAAATGGAAACCATTCCAAAGAGTTCTGAGAGGCTGGACCTTGGGCTGTGGAGGCCTCCAGAGGGATTTCCACAAGGCAATGCTCTGAAGGGTACAATTACCAATTCAGGGTGTCCAAGTTCCATCTGCAATACTTGCACAGGAGTTCAAGGTGTACTTAGTCATAGACATAGTCTTAAGCATCTCAGTTATCCACACTGAGATGTTGCAGGAAATGAAGCGGACCAATAGTCCGATTACAATTTTCAATTAAACTAGGAAAAAAGAAGGGAGAAAACAGAGCTGCAGCTGGTGACAATAAGTCAGACCTACTGAGCTGATCACTGTTAATCACAAGGGACTGCTCCCAGAGCTTGGTGTGAGAGTGGAAGAGTTGCATAATGCCATGCATGAGAAAGGTGATGGGAAGAGGCCAGAGACTAGGAGATGCCAGGGTTGTAGTTAAACCTGGAATTGCAACACCGTCCAATAGGGCATACCAGATTTTGTACACTCATAAATGGTGAATCAGCAATTTTGTGGTAAGTGACATGGGCTAAGTACGGACAATCAAAAAGCTGGAGGCTGAATCAATTCAGTCTTCACAGGTTAGTCTAAGCTGTGTAGATTGAACCGATAAGCAAATGTACAGACATTCATTTTTGATTTCAGAAATGCAGTCACATGCCTGCAGTGGCGCAGGCCAGAAGCAAGGTGTGTGGGGGGGGAAAGGTGTGCTAAAGCTTGACAGGGGAGGTTTGTGGGGGAGGTGCAAAGCATCCTGGGCTGCTGGGGGACTGTTCGCTTGAATCTGGAGGGGATCTGGCACATAAGTTTAATAAATTGATTTAATTGATTTAACCTAATCAGTTCAGTCTGATACCTCATCCATACAGGTTTATTTTAAACCAGTTTTGGCCATTTTGAAAGCAGTTTATGTGCACTGAACTTCTGTTGTGTTACAGATTTGAACTGGTTTCCAATCACTTACACTGGTTTATGTATAATTTCTGTTCGAAGCCATAGTGTGCAAACTGAAATTGGTGCTGGTAATACACTAGCCTCCCAGAACATTGGTAAAGCGAGAGAAATGTTGGAGGGGTTTTTTTAGTGAGAATATTTCTGATTCAGGATGATGATGTTAAATACAACTGAAGCCATAAGGAGCAAGAAGATTCTTTTGTTTGTGAGTGAGGCTCCAGTTTTCCACACTGCCCCTTTATGGCAGTACGTATTACAGTCTAGCCTTGCAGAGCACCATGCAAAATTTGTAAAACTTTGTGGGATTTAGAAATGACTGATCAATGTATTAAATCTATCTACTGGTCAGCTGCAGGACTGGTGACTGCTCTTTTATTTAAAGGCTTAATTTTCTGAATGAGCAGCTTCCATTTAAGTTGGTGGGAGCTACTGTTGTTCAGAGACTTTATAAATTATATCACTGCATACTGGAGTCTCCCTTCAGGCCACACCTATTGGAATGGCCAGACTGTGCCCAAATCTCACATTTCATTAAAGAACAAAGATTGCCAAGGACATCTTGAAAAGAGAAATGAGTCCAAACTAATGTCTGAAAGAATCAAACAACCAAGACAAATTGTTTAAAATTATTTTAAAAGAAGCCCAATTGTAAAGCTAATTCTGTTACGTACTGTGGAGAAGAGAGGCTGTCTTCTCATTAAAAGTATTGAACTGAACAGGGAAGGAACAGAGGGTAGCAACTTTCATCAGCTAAGAACCATCTGAGAGCAAGAAGATTCTTTTGTTTGTGAGTGAGGCTCCAGTTTTCCACACTGCCCCTTTATGGCAGTACGTATTACAGTCTAGCCTTGCAGAGCACCATGCAAAATTTGTAAAACTTTGTGGGATTTAGAAATGACTGATCAATGTATTAAATCTATCTACTGGTCAGCTGCAGGACTGGTGACTGCTCTTTTATTTAAAGGCTTAATTTTCTGAATGAGCAGCTTCCATTTAAGTTGGTGGGAGCTACTGTTGTTCAGAGACTTTATAAATTATATCACTGCATACTGGAGTCTCCCTTCAGGCCACACCTATTGGAATGGCCAGACTGTGCCCAAATCTCACATTTCATTAAAGAACAAAGATTGCCAAGGACATCTTGAAAAGAGAAATGAGTCCAAACTAATGTCTGAAAGAATCAAACAACCAAGACAAATTGTTTAAAATTATTTTAAAAGAAGCCCAATTGTAAAGCTAATTCTGTTACGTACTGTGGAGAAGAGAGGCTGTCTTCTCATTAAAAGTATTGAACTGAACAGGGAAGGAACAGAGGGTAGCAACTTTCATCAGCTAAGCACCATCTGAGAAGTACTTCATGCATGTTAAGATTCGAATGATTAAGATTCGAATTATAAGATTCGAATTATAAGATTCGAAGCATTATACCAGGTCCTGAGGCTTTGATGTTAGAAAAGCAAGGTCTGAATCTTTGTGGGGCAATAAAATCAAGACTGCTAATTATGAGTAGTTTCAAAGGGTTTATTTCTACCCACTATTCACTAATGACTTTGCAACTCCTACACCCAAATGAGATTGGAAAAACAAATATGTGCTCATGTAATTAGAGATAATAGCCTATGTACACACAGGGAGGCAGAGTTAGTTCCATGGGAAGCCCTAATCCTGACACGTCTGACTTCTGAATTCTTGACTTTGTAATGCTACCAGTGCTCTCTTATTTCCTTTGACTGTGTAGCACACACAGGGCTTTTTGCGCAGCTGGATGAACCCAAGGGGTGAATGCCACTGCTGCTGTGCTCCCCACCCTCTTGCCTGCTACCAAATTTGGGATCTTCAGTTACCCCCATGGGTTTTGGACCCGTGTCAACTTAGTGGCTCCAACAGCCAACCACCAACCTGCCACTACGCTGTTGAAGGTGGACTGTCTGGCCTATGAGAAGTCTTGTGGTATGGATCTGATCCGCAGGGCCAAAGGAGTTATATACCTCACTATCTGACTGCATCCCCCACCCCTATTTAAAACTTTAGATCTACTCCTGGAAAGCGGTAATAGTAAACTTATGGAAAGATGGAATAATGGAAACTTGATCCTGGGGCAGGATCAACTATACTCTAACCCTCCCTGACAGATGTTTGTCCAATCCCATCCTGAAACGCTTCAGTTGAAGAGACTCCACAGCCCTTCTAGGTATCCCATTCCAGTGCTACACCATCTTAAGCATTAGAAGGATTTTCCTAATAAGCAATACAAATCTTCTTGGCTGCAAATTATGCTGATTTCTTCATATTCGTTTTCAGGGGTCATGGAGAACGACTGATCCTCAGCATCATAAAAAATACTGTTTTATATGCTGGAAGATGGTTATCAAGTCCCTCCTCAGTTTTCTCTTTGTTCAGACTAAACAAACCTAATTTATTCAACGAGCTTTAGTTAAAGCACCCCCGCCGCCATTTTCCAGCGTGGGAACGCTGATACACAAGATGCTCCAGGCACTTTAATTAGAGTGGCTTTTGGAGCTGCTTTAATTAAAGTTCCTTCCCCTGCCTTCCCTGCCTCCCAAAGCATGTGTATAAAGGCCTATCTATCCCAGCACGTTTGCCACAGTAACAGCTTGTTGTGGTATTCCAGCTCGAGGCTCGCCAGCATTGACTGGAATGGAAAGGTTGCCTCTTGTGTTTTAATTCGACACTGCTGTTAATGCCTGAGAAATTAATGTTTGCTTCTTCTGCAACAGCATCGCAGACTTGCCTCCTTAGTTTGTGATTTGCTGTGACCTGTAGGTCCTTTTCTGCAGTACTCCACCTACGTACTTACTTTACTTTTATGCATTTTGATTTCTCCTTCCTAAGAGGAGTACTTTGCGCTTGTCAATACTGAGTTTTATCTTGTTGATTTTGGCTCATCTCCTCAATTTGACAAGAGCATTTTGCATTCTGATCCTGGACTCCAGACAGTTTGCTGAACTCCCTGTTCCTTTATCCAAGTCGTCAAGAAAAATGTGGCATAAATCTCAGCCTAGAACAACCTTGGTGGTGAAATCCACTTGAAATGTCCTCTCAGTGAACCATTTGTAACTGCACTTTAGGAGACTTACAGAAGTTTGATGCTGTTGGAGCAATGGGAGAGGAAGAAAGTTTGGCAGTAGCTTGTTGGGTAGTTTATAGAACTGAGAAGCTCAGGAGACCGAGATCGAGAGCAGGAGAGGAAAGGAGATGTGAGAGAACATGGTGACAGAAGTTTTGCAAGGCACTTCTACCTCCAATATTTCACTCTAGGGGTGCATCTACATGTTGCCGTACTGCGATGTTGCTATGGCACCACGCTAAAGCACCGTGTAGTGCAGGCAATTACTGTGCCATGTGAGTGGCATATGCTTGGATTTCCCAGCTACGTTGCACACTACACCTGGAGAGTGCACCACTATGGCAATGTAGCTGGCAATCACGTGA